TGGGAAAGGATTCACAGAAAAATTTTACAGGCCAGGTTACCCCTGCAATTCATTAAGGTGATCCAGCTATATATTGGTAATAAAACATCTGTAAGATTTTACTCCCTCTCCTTTGGTGGGAGTTTGCAACTGCAACAGCCATGTTTGCATAATTCAGTCTATACTGTTTAACTTGCTTAAAGCTTCCTGCTCTAATGCTTAACAGTGCACATAATGATTAATATAAACATTACTAAAAGTATATTCTTCTGAAGTTTTTCCCAGTTATGAATAAAACCGAAAGAAAATCCAATTTTTCCAGTTCAGACTCCAAACCAAGAAATGGGAAAAATATTTTAACACTAACCTATTTGTTTTCAATTTGAATATTATCTTTAGCATAGACCATATCCAAATATTTGGTTGACCAGAGAGGGACAGTGAGAATCACTCTGAATGGCTTCAGGCTTTTTTGTAAAGGAAGTTATCTGACCTGTCTCATCTCCTGCAATAAATGTTTCTATAATATGCACACTAAAAATATTATGTTAGGAAGAGACAATACACACCATCCTAGAGATGGATAACAAGTGCTGTTTCAAGAGATGAGAACCACTGTTGTAATTTGGGTTGAGCCTAGATTTAACACTTCCTCATACGAAGTCCAAGCAAGAACCACTGGATTTTGGGCTATTAATGGAGAATGAGATGATACCTTCCCTTTCTTTATTGTTGTAAGCTCCCTTCTGAATGAAATCTCTGATTAATGTTGGGCTTGATGATCTTGGAGGTTTTTTTCCAATCTTAATGATTCTCTGATTCTGTGATTCTAATCCTGGAAATACTTATGTTTGGAAAATATTAGAACTGTTCTTGTCAACATTTCCATCTCTTCTTTTTAGGCTTTTTGTTGTTATTGTTGCAGCCAACAGAATTTGCTGAATTAATTTCAAATATTGTTCTGACCAACCAAATACAACCTATTTATTATTGAAGGAAGGAAAGTAGGAAGCAGCCAGGATGCAATTTTGCTCTGGGCAAAGATATTTTATAGGTTGTGTATGTGTAAAAAAAGGTTAAGGACGGGGACCATAAGATGAGCTGTCCTTTTAGTGTGACATATAGCAAATTTTAACAGCATCCTTAGAACTACTGGAGAATGAAATTCATCTCTGTGTAGAAAATTGCACTTAAGCCATCAAAACAAGGCTATAAGTGAGAGATAATGGTTGTATATACCTTTTCCTGGCTCATTAATGGAGCTGAGCTTCCTCCCAAAAGTTTAGGATAAATATGAATAACTCTTCTGAAAAACTGCAGAAATGCCACAGGTAAGCACAAAAAATTTGTTTTCATGAAGGCTTTTAGTGAAACAGAGAGGTGTTGTGAATTCCTGCACTCTTGCAGAAGTGTCCTTAGTGCACATGATACTTCCTGGTAAATATGCTCCTGCTTTGGCACTTCACTGCTTGGTGGGCACAGCCACAAAAGCCATGCGGATTTTTTAGTATTTACTCTTGGGGACTTACCTTTCTATTCCATTTCACTGCTTAGGTGGTACAACTCATCAAAAGTATCATGTGTTACTGGTGCTATTTCAAAACAAAAGAGAGATTACTCATTTGGTTAAAAGGTTATGTTAATTTTGCTGGACATACAAACATTATGCTTTCAGTGGGGCATTCTTAAAAGATTCATAGATCCTCTAAAGCAAGATCCAGTTTTTGATCCAATCAGCATGCAAGCACACTTTTTTCAAGGATTCAAATATCAAAATAATGTTGTCATGGAGCAGCCCAAAAGAATATTTTCCCAAGATGACCTCAAGTACCCATTAAAATCCAGTTTTGCAAGGCAATGAGTAATCTGATGAGAGCCTAAGTTGTCTCCATGCTTTGCATAAAGGTTCTCAGACTGCAACAGCAGGATCAAATTGAAGGAAAAACAATACAAAGATGATAAGAAGAGAAGAAATACATTACCCTTCTGTTCTGCCTTCAAGATATTTGCTATCAATATTGATAATGTTGCAGTGAAATTATTCTACAACGTTGTATTCTCAAAACAAACATGTTTCTCAAAACAAACACATATTTATTTATCCTCTTCATATAAACAGTCATGCCTATCTGGAAGAATCAGAGTTATAAAAGGAGTAAATTCCAAAGCACAGGGAATGCTCTTCCCACGTCTCCCTGAAAGTACTCAATAATCTGAACTCTTGGTCTCAGCAGGCAGGCAGTGAAGGAGCACCAAAGCCACGGCTGCTGAGGTAAGGAAATTACTGATCTCTGTGTGCAGGGACAGCAGTGCCTCCTCACCTGCCTCTGGAGAAGGAGCTCCACCTGCCAGGACACACCTCGGAGAGCAAATGCCTCGGACACAAACCACCCCCAGGTGGGCACTTCCCGCATGTCAGGCATCCCTGGGAATGCTGGGGAGAGGAAACACCCCAAGAGAACATGAGTGCATGTGAAAAGGTGGCAGGAGGAGGAAGAGGAGAAAGGACAAGATCATCTACCAGGTCAGAGGTGTAAATAGAGAGATGTTTGTAGCTTCCCTTGGAATACTTTTGTGATTCTTCCCACCAAAACCAGCAGGACCAAAATGTTTCCAGGTGTAACAAATTGGAAGCTATGAGAGAAACCACAAAATGAAATCGCTCTGATAGACTTGTGAGCTGTACAAGAAGGAAAATCATGTTCTGAATGAGGGAAAATCTCCAGTTGCCCTGCCATCAATACACTAAATGAGCCATCCTTACTCTCCACTGGCCCTGGGACAAATGACAGACATGCTGGCAGATTCAGAGGAGTGCCAGCCACACATAACACACACCTGTGACTCCTCATCCTGTGGGGGACTTGGGACTAATCTCTGCACTGCTGGGTGACACTGCTGAAACTTCATAAACCATTCCACCACATGACAACAATTTTTAAAACAAAAACAGAGATCAAGAGAAGGAGACCCCAAGGACAAATTATTTGAAGTATTTCAGCACCCCACTGTATTCATACTCTAATGAAGATCACACAAAATATTTGATCCAGCAACCAAAGTGCCGAAGTGTAAAACAGTCACTTCACTATTAAATTTTAAAGCTTCAATTATAAAAATGTCTGACCAACTCTACTGGCACCTTTACATTTATGGTAATGAGAACAACAGCAATGGAACTTGAGAGAATGAACTATTCTTTCATTTCTTTGGATAAAAGCAAAGGCATAAATCTTGTAATTAAGAGAGAGTTTGAACTGCCAGTGTTTGAGCCAGACAAACTAGATCTGTCTTGCCCGTAAGCAGGGGCTTATAACCTTGGCATGATAGTTAGGACACACACTCATTAATGTCTGTCTAGAGCTACAATATGAGTATTCCTTTACACATCTGTGCCTTTCATTCTCCATTCACAGGCTTTAAACTAGTTTTTTTTTGCTTGCCACCTGCCTTCTCATCTATTCAGGAACGCAGCTCACTTTGTGGACTCAATGCCAACTTCACGCCGAGGGCTGGCACATGGTCTGTGGACTATTTGGAGCAGAAAAGGAGCTCAGATCATACAGAGTCCTTGTACTATTTCTCCAAACACACACAACATCAATCCCTTGTAACTACACCTGAGAGAACATTAAGAAATGTTCCATGTAGGTGGAGCTCAGGAGCGTAGTAGCAGCTGATGGCTGGTGTGTCCCAAGGTCCTTCCTGCTGGAATCCTCTCTCTGACAGGGGCCAGAACTGGATGTTTAAGGAAGAAAACAGAGATCACACGTAGAGAAACCATCCAAAAGTGGATAGGAAGCAGTAGCATTATGCAGCTTCCCGAACTATTGATGATGCATTTTTATTTTTTAGTCTGTGCATTTGTCCTGTTACTTTTGAAACCTGCGCAGACTTGTCAGGTGCAGAATGACACTTTGCTCAGGCAGACCTAATTTTTACCTAACTTTTGTTGCATAAGTCTTGAATGTCTGCTCTAGACCATTTTCTACAGTTTCTCTATCAGCTGGGAGAAGTAGGGGTTTCAGAGGGAAATTCCACTCATCATTAGATTAGTTATTGTAGATGCTGGGGATGAGTTACTTCATAGAGATGTTTTTTCCTCCATTAACCTAGAAGGGAGCCTGATGAAAGCCTCACTTCTGACAGCTACAGCTAGGTGACACAGATGCATTGCCAAAAGCAAGCTTCTGGAATGCAAAGACACCTTTGCTCTAAATGGGTGATCCAAGGAACACAGTAAATAGAGTTAAAAGGAATCTTGAGAGGGTCCCTTTAACTGTACAGGGATTCTCTCAACATCTCAACTGAGTGATTCCATTGCTCTTTAGGATGGAGCTAGTTACTGGAATGACCTACTCAGAGAATGTGTTTTCTAATAAAGTCCAGGGCTCTGACACAATCAAAACTGAAATTAGTACAATATTTGACAACATACTTGACCTTTCCAAGAGAATGCACTACATAACAATAACAAAAACAACAATAAGATGTTTCAGAAAAGCTGAATCTGATCATGCAGTGAACTGCTAAACAGGAATTTGACCAGAATCTTTAAAGGGGGGAGATAATTAGGCAAATGTTCAAGATACAGAGCCTCATAAGAATGTCAAATACCACAATTATCCATTTACTTGATAAAACAAGTGCTCTGTTGATTAAATTTTATTGCTCTCACTGCTTCCTGCTTTAAAGATTAAGACATCAGAATCAATTCTAAGACACCATTTTTTTGGGAAGGGAAAGAGGTCCCCAGAGGTCAGCAGAGGTCCTCAGACAAATTCTGACCCACTCCTGAGGGCCTGTAACACCTGCTGCCTGTCACAATCACAAAACCCTGAGTTCTGTGGCCTGTGCTGGTGAGACGGACGGGGAGGGACCACAGTTTTGGTTTCATCAGACCTTCTTTTGGGAAATCTAATCCACCCACCAACACCAACTATTCAATGTAGCAGTCCTCACCAGCCATAAAAGCTGGCCACTGCAGGAAGCCAGGTGAAGAACATGGCACTTTATACTCTGCTTTTCTGGTTCACCAGCACTCACCTGGCTTTAGGCAAACATGAAAAACTCACAACCATTTGTGTTCCAGTCTGGTTCACCATGGTATTTCCATCCCAGTGTAATTTTATGCATCAGCACAAACCTGGAGTGACACAGGAGTTATTTCAGCCTGGCTATTTAAAGTTTCACAGAGATGAGCTGTTACAGTAGGTCTGTTTACATGAGAAGAGGGACGTTGTGATTTACAGCTCATGACAGAATTTGGAAAGGCCAGCTGCTTTCACTCTGTATTACACTATCGCTGGCTCTAGCACGAACCTGACCCATCAGTTTTGGAAATCCCTCTGTTTCTACATGAGGCTATATCACGTCTTGCTAATCATGTGTAGCAACAACAGCTACTGCCTCTGCCACCAAATCCAGATGTATCAACTCCAGGCTTCTCTCCTGCTTTGTCACTGAGCTATGCGCTGCATGGTGTGGATGGTGCTGTCATACTACGCTGCTCTGAGCTTCTTGGCTCAAGCTTTCAGTGGACTAGAAGCGACTTTAGGCTTGCTCTATCTCTACTGGAAAAGAAGAATGGGAACAGTGCAGCAATAGCAGCTGAGCAGTAGCAGCTGCAGTCATAATATCTGTGAGGATTCCTGGAGAGATAAAGCAAGTACAAGGAAGGGGAGGGAAAAAGTAGGAGCTCCTTTAATGGAATTATCTTTTGATACACATAGATGCACAGGAGCTGAAGGATGCTCAGCCTGACATGTTGATATTACAAAGTTGATCTGCCAACGGACAGTGAATACCATTACCTCTGCTGTGCTAGGTCTTGTCCTTAGCAGCACCATTATAAACTCCCCAAGACTTAGACTTAGACCAGTTTTCAGAAATAGAAACCCGAAGTTGGAGCTACATTTAGACACTGGCATCAAATGGTGAGTGGCAGCTCTTGCAGGCTCAGAACTTTTCACAGTTAACCCACCCATGTCTCAACATAAACTTAGCTGCTCGGGTCTGTGCTTCTGTTCCTAAAATCCTTGTGTGGTGAATCCACTTTCACCTCACCCCAAATCCCAGCCCTGCCTGCTCATTAGCTTCTGATTCAGTAACCTGCCAACTAGCCTTATGTTCACAATTCCATCAGAGCCTGCTATCACTTCTCACTGTGATTTCAACTGCTGAGCAGATTAACATTCAGAGGACACAAACAATAAACATTTTGCTTCATTACTTCTAACGAATAAATAAAATGGATTCCAGAAGTCCTCCCAACCTCTTCCTCATTCTTTATTGGTTTTGATGTACTAAGCCACAGTGTCCCAACCATGGCATATTTCTCTTACATTCCACTTACTTCACCGTGAAATGACTCAATTCAGCCAAGAAGATTTGAAATACACACTAAAGGCAGTGTAAAACAGCACCCTTACCAAGTGTGAAAAAAGAAATATAGTTCATAAACAGAGTAGAAAGCATATTTAAAACAACCTCTAATGAACTCCAGAGGCAGCAGAGCTTGAACCAGGCAACATATCCCTGATATCAGCATCAGCTTTCAAAAAAAATCACATTGTCCACAGGTCATATATTTCACTGCATCTCTGAAGAAATGCTAAATCAATAAAATAGCTAAAGGTTGCCAATGAATCAGGCAGTGTTCTATAAAAAGCCAAGCATTATTGCTGCAGGGCAACTTAAGAGCTGGAGAAATATTTGCAAGGAAAAGGCCATCCCTCCCACTGGAGCCCATTCATATTCAGTTGTTCGACACATTCCAGCGGACACCAGTGAGCAGTACCAGGAGATGGAGTCGTGCTGGCCTGCTGGCTCTGCTGCAGCACCTTTTCTTGATGATGTGAGGTTTCTAACACACTGTCAGTTTGAGTGCTCCCCCTCCCTGAGCCTGGATATTAGCACCCTTATGAAAACTCAAGCTTGCATTGGCAACACATTCACCAATTAATGTCTGTGCCACCTTGGCACCCTTATAACCAGACTGCACATTTCACACTCAGCCTTCTCAAAGGGTCACAAAATTATCCATACCTGGTAATTGTGAAATCAGAGCTGGGAACTTTTTAACAATTCACAGTACATCATTGGTTTAGTTGTTTCTGTATACACCACAGGATACAAGCCATCTTCTTGCTGAGGGGAATATACAGAGGAGAATAAGATATTAGGTGAAAGCAACTTTGATATTCTACTGCAAATCCACAAACTAAGCTTACTGGTGTCATAGACTACTTTTGGGTTTTGTTTCCTTCATGTGCTGACATCCATCTTATGGAGAGGAGTCCTTAGAAAATCAGACTATCATACTCATCCGACTCAGTTTTCATAGAAGTAAAAATAAAGGTCTGTGTCCATTTCCTGAACTCATGCAGAACACTTTGATCTTTTTAGGCCATCAATTTTAAAAGAGAGAACAGCAGTCTGAAAGCCAAATCAGTGTTGATGGGGAGGCTAAGAACTACTGGAACTAAGATTATCTTAATTTCATGCAAAAGCTGGGACTGGAACTTTTATCTCTCAGTGTAAACATTCTAAAAAGTGCTCTCTTTTCAGTCATGGGAATATACGACTTCTGCAGTAGTTTCGGAAAATAACAGTCCATTCCAGAAGTATATAGTACATATATCTTGTCTTGGTGACACAGTTCTCTATTCTGCTTTTCTGTTGTTAAAAATAAAGGTTTTTCACAACCATACTTTCAATATGCATTTAATATTTACATACAGGCTGGTTTTGACAAAACAGGGCTTTGGGATAAGCTTCAGTGAGCACTGTGTTCAGCTCCATTACCATCACAGCCCCCTGCAGATATATCCTCCCACTGTTACCACCAACACTGACACAAAAAAAGGGGTCTTATTCTCCTACAGTCACTCTCCTGAAAGCTTCACAGTTGGAAAAGGCCAATCTCACCTACATTTCATTACTCACCTCAAAGAATTTCAAAGTGCAGTGCAATGTCAGAGAGAATTTAGGCTTCATGCATGTTTTACTCATAAATGCTTTTCAAGTTTGGCCCTACAGCTATACCTTCCTCTACATGCTTCCATGCTAGATCCACTTCTCATAGGCACTTGGCAATGGCAAAGACAACATTTTCAAGCAGATGACTTTGTGGGTGACCAAATGCTCACCAGCTAAATACACATCAAAATTGTTTTCCTTATTTTTTAGGAAGGCAGCCCAGAAAGACTTATGGATTCCAAAATGTTTACCACCATGTGTATTTCAATATTGTGCTTGTTGGCAGATGGTGATTAAAAACTTCTTTTCAGCTACCAGTTCTGTGGAACACTTACTTATAATACATCAGTTTGTTCTTTCTCCTATGATAGACCCACTGGATCCTCACAATGTATGGGTTACAAATACTTTCCATTTCTTCATACCTTTCTGATGTCATACTCTGAGATACTGGGCAGTGAGAAGCAATGTCAAACAGTATATGCCTAATTAGTCTCTTTGTAAATTCAGCAGGCATTTCCATTTATCATTGCTGTGATTTTTATTCCCTTGAAATTATCTGTTTGATCCCAATTGCTTTTTATCATTTTCCTGAGCAGAGTATTTTTCTTGTAATAATTTTAAATGCATTTCTGCAAAACAGTTGTCCTTTTAGCCTTAATATTAAAAAAAAAATAAATTCTCTGCTGCACAGTATTTTTTGTCATTATGCTGTATTCTTTTTCTACAACACTGATTTCTTTTTCATATTCAAACCTGACACAAGTGGCATAAGTGGGTGGGATGATGAGCAAAATTCAGTCTACGTATCTTCAAGCACAGAAAGATTAAACCAAAAATTAATTAGGCCTAAGTAAGAAAAGCTGTACTGCAGCAATGACAAAGCAGAGCATCTCAAATGTTGAATGTGTTTCTTATAAGTGAACATTTACAGATGCAGAGGGTACAGATACAGATCTTTTCTTTTCCACAAATTCTGATTCACAGAATGTCATTAACAACACCAACTCACAAAGTTTAATAAAGATAGGTGTTCTTGTAAAATTCTCATTAAATGTAACATTTATATCCTTCACCTATACAAATCTTTAGTATTAACACAATAACTATTCCCACAAAATAACTGCAGATTGGTTTGCATTGTTCAGCATTTATCAGGCTCTAAAATGAGCACAGAACATACCTAGAGTGGGACATTTACCCCTCCAAATTTCTGTGGAGTGAATCTTGTAGGTTTTGTTGCAGTAGAAGGAGAAATCTATGGTAAGCACCTTTAATGTTGTATTTTAGATGAGCAATATATATATGTACAAGCTCCTAACATCAGGGTGAATCTTGCCACTGATTTCCAAAGCTGTTAGGCAAACCCATATGCACTGAACATATTCCCATTTCTTTCTCATGAGTGCAAATAATGCTGGGCACAGCATGACTTCCCCTGCTCGGGTGTTAAATGGAGGCTGGAAAAAGCAGATGGCTTTTTGTTACTGGGATGCTGAAGGTACCACAGGGAAAAGACAGTTAAGGATCTAACTAAATCAACATTTCTGTTGTAAAAAAAATGAGCCAGTGGTAGAATGTGTGCAACTTTTATAGCATTATTTGTGTTTCTTTAGGCTTGGGATATGGTATTGTAGTGCTATCACCTCTCTGGCTGAAGTGTGTCAAATCTTAAGTGTACAGGTTCTGAAAGAAGCAGACTGTTTAAAAAGATATATGAATGGTGAAATCTTTAAACAGTTGATGACTATGCCTACAAGACCTTTTCAGATGATATATTATGGCATGTATCTCCATCTTTTTCTCCCCATACTATTCAAAATGTTAAAACTGTCTCTGATTATGATTTGTGCCTGAGCTAAGAATACAGACTCTGATCAGCTACAGCTGCTTTATCATGCTTCTCAGTAGGTGTAAACTGAGATATTTCTACTGTATTTCTCAGGTTTTTCACCTCCACAAGAACACTGGCTTTGCAGCTGGTGACTTGGAAACCTGCTCTGTTATCAGGATCAAGGAAAACAGTTCACAATTGCCAACCACCCAGGACTGTCAAACTTTGGACCCTACTCCAGGAATGAGCTGCCCAAGCTCACACACTGCTCTACTGGACAGGCCACTGAAGGCTTGGCTACCACTGGACTCTCCCATTAGCTCCTCCTGATGTGAGCATAAAGAATGAAGTGCTCCAGCACGTTCAGTCAAGCAAGGTCACAAAGAAGAAAATTAATGCCATGTCACATTTGATCTGATGTCAGCAAGGTTCATTTTCAATAGAGGTTGTGTCAGTAGGGCTCAGGTTATTGAACTCTTCCAGCCACTCCTCTTATCTGATTAATCTTGCTTATTATTTGATAGCTTTCAGGTGTGGTGGAGCTGGCTGAAATCCTCTGGCCACCGTGGACTAGAATAATGCACTGTAATTTTGCCATTTCATTTTAAATCTCAGCTGAAAAACAGCTGTTCCCCAAGTCTATAATTTGCTGTGGCTTACTATTCTTTCTACTGTTATTTATCCAGGTAGCTATATCATTTAACTCTGTGAAGCACATTGGAATACAGCTTATCTGGGGAACACTAGTAAGCAGAGAATGAAGTGGGACTCTTAAATCAGATTTCACTGATGGCTTTGAAGAGCTTCTAAAAATTCTCACCTGGTGCTTCCCAATATAGTCATTCTTTATACATCTATTCCATAATATGACATGAAAGGAATTTTTGGCTTCAGTCCTTCTACTTTCTGATTCCAGCAGCTCCTGAAAATCTTTCAGATCAAAGAACCAATGGCAGTTTGTCATCTTTGCAATGATGCATTTTTAAAAGGTATAGCTGGTGCAAGAAGTTACATGTACCTTTTCTGCATCAGTGCATTTTTCTAATTAAGTAAGATTCCCTGTTTCTGCAGGCTTGACTGGCCAGATAATGGAGTGCAGTGAGATTTGTCCTGAGCTGAATGCTGCAACAGGGACAAAATTAATGCTGGGAGAAAAATGACATGAGAGGTAAAATTAAGTGGAATGATTGCAGTGCAACTATATAATTCACTTCTAAATTATTAGAAAAATTACAAAAGTGTTAATCTTTTAGCAATTAATGTGCCAAATTAATCCCAAGTTTTTATAGTCCATTAGAATCTAATAGAAAAGTGGAAAAAACCTTGTGAAGAACCTTTCTTTAAGCAAGCTGCAGAACTTGCTTGAAAATTATATCCTTACTACACAACACCACAGGATTTTTTATTCTTAGGGTATAAAAAAAGGATACACTTGATAATGACATTCTGTTTTTGCAAGGCTTTCATATTTAGGGATTTCTAGCCAACCCATTCCTGCCTGGTGGAGATGGGATCTTTATTTGGACCCTGCCTGCTGGGTAACATGCAAGTAATTTTGTCACTGTCTGCAATGTTTTCCTTGCTATCCTTCAGATACCTGGTCAATTCAAATTGAAAATGAGCCCAGGACTGTCACTTAATGCATGCATTTACAGTAACAAGGCAAGTGGTGTGCTCATTGCAACTTGTTCTTTAGTTAATTTTCAGCGGGGATATAAAAAAAAAAAAAAAAAAAAAAAAAAAAGAGAGAGAAATGTGAAAAACTGTCTCAGTTTGACTTTCACTTCAGCAGTGTGGGTTCATGATGAGTAAACTGACAAAGGAGTAGGTCTTGGGCAAGGAGATGCAGAGTAACCAGTGGCCACAGAATCCCACAAGTGTGCTACAGAAGGGCAGGCTGCCCAAAACCCCTGGTCAGCTTTCAAGCTGGATTTCAAAGTGCTGGACATGCCCTTGTGGTAGCAGAGTTTCTGATCAACCACGGGGATCAGTAGCTTCTCAGATATGTAGCTAGACACAGATTTAAAGACCTTATAAGGAGCAAAGGGTCTTACTTAAATATTCTTTGTGGGAAGGGAAAATGCAAATGAATGAGTCACGGCTTCAATTAACATCAAGTGCACTCTAATGGCCGGCTTCATTCTGGCTGATTCATCGTGTAAAGCTGCATGTACCCCTGCAGAATGTATAACTAGGGGTTTACTAGTGCAGACACCAGCTTGCAGAGTTCCTCTGCTGGTGCAGGACATGAAAGTACTCGCAGCCCTTGACTGCCATGACACACCGAGATTCAGGGTTTATACTTACACAGGGCAGCACTGCACCCCCAAAGAGTCCTGTCCAGAAAGACGTGGTCATGATGGATAACTGATAAAGGCAGTCTGAAAAAACAGGCCTCTTTGCAAGAGTCATGGAGCAGTGAAATGCTATAAATAGAAAGAGAACATAATCTACATGGAGAAAGGTTCTCATTAAAAAAGCAGTATAGAATTAATCGATACATCTTTGATCCTGTTATCCCCTTATAGTAAGGTTTTGGCCTTGAGAAGCAAGGAACCTTACTCTGACACTGTTATTAGACTATTTCCTCTTAGCAATAAGCCAATTATTTTGGTTTAATGATTAATGAAATTCAAAATATTAAAAGCCATAAGATTTCCATTTACTAGTTACTGCATCAAGACCAATGATTGTGTGTAGTTGAAATTGAAGAAATATTTCAAAAGAAAACATTTAATTCTGATTTTCTACATTAGAAATTTTCAAGAACCCAACAATATTCCACATAAATGATTTCCAGTGACTAATTATTATCCTTGTTAGAAAGACACCTTATTTCTCTGAATCCCAATATCCACAATCATGAATAAGTACTACAAAATTCTCCTTTTTTGTATTATTTCAGGACCAAAAATAAAGCTAGGAAAACAACTGATATCTGGTACTGGACAAAAGAGATCCCTATACAGCTTATAACTTGTACTTATACCTAATATCTGAACTGGAGATGTGAAATCAGTTGCTACAATATTTTTCTTTCAGGAAGGAAGATATTTTTCTGCTCTAAGGAGCAAAACATAGTGACTGAAAACCTCAGCTATGATTTTATTTTTAACCAACACTTACTCACAAAATGGGACAAAGCTGAGCACAACACTTGAGTACCAAGGAAGGGCTAACAAGCAAAAGCATACAGATCCACCACAAAGAGAAGGCCTGAATCAAGTGATGGGGACAGATGGGAATGGATTTTGAGTATGCTGCTTTTGAGGAATGCTCTTATGAGCCAAAACCCAACACTAAGAAACAATGTGCATGTGTATATTACATCACATTGCAACAGTTTGCAGAGCTATTCAACCAAATTATCTGCCAATTTTAATTCCCAGCATAGACTGCAGCAAAGATATGCAAGCTTCCACCAGTTGATGCCATAGCCCATCTTCTAGAAACAAACAGAAGTGAAAATTTTTTCAGGTACTGCATTAAGACTGAAAATTACCATCCTACCTTTCACCAGACTTGAAATTCTTGAGCATTATTTGTCTTTCTGGTTTTAAAATCTGAAAGACAAAAAAACTTTCTTTAGAAGTAAAAGCCATCATGGAGAAAGATCAAATTCTGAGAAAGAGAATGCTCAATGGTGAGCCAAAAACTTCCCTGTTCATCCTTGGCTGATGCTATAGTAATAGGGAATATTGAATGTGTTGGAAAACTGCAAGGTTCACTTCCCCTTTGCTGAACTTTTTCTCACTCAATGGCCAGCTAAAGGGATTCTGTCATTCCTTCATTAACACTGCTGACAATCACCTTCTGCTTTGGGTGAAAGAAGCACTGGGTTGTGATAAGGGGAAAAAAGCTGTTTGGATCAGGTTTTCAAATCAAGAAAATCATAAAAATCACTGATTTTATCCCAGGCAGACATTCATAAACTCCAATATTCTCATTTATTCATCAGGTTTCCTTGTGGACTTCTCAAGGATTCACGTGATAGGAAATCAGCAAGTAGTCATGATGAAATTTACTTTTAAACCAAGTATTACTCCTCCTCAGCTCCTTCCCATTTACCAGCATTTTTAACCTGCTCAGATACTCAGAATTCAGAGCAATCTGTTTTAAAAACAATATTAATTCCTTTATTTAATATTAGAAAAAAGATGAGCTGTCAAGCAAAATCAAAATAGTCTTCATTTTCCAGGAACAATAAAGCCAGCCTACCTAGGTTTGCATTGTTTTGCTTGTCTGAGATCCAGAGGGGCTGTCTTCCACCTTTGGCATGGAAATTCCAATGCATCCTAAATTTTATTAGCACATGAGACAGCAAGACATTGTTTGTGGCTAAATTCTGCTAAGATCTCTGCTGCTAGGCAACCTGCCTTAAGCACAGTGTGAATAAGGTCAGTCAAGTTTCTAGGTCAGCAGGATGTATTTTCTGCGTGCAAAATTTGGCGGCAGACTTGATCTCACTCTTGAATCCAAGTTGTCCCTTACTCTGCATCCCTCCCTGTCTTGTATTTGGTCAGCTCTTTATCAGCTTTGAAACACTGCAAGGATGAGGCACCTCCTCGCACAGGCTGGTGCTCTGACCAACACAGGCATCTTGGGGAGGCCAGTTATTGCAATGCACTTTAGCCTGGAAGGCTGCTGAACATTCTGTCATGCTGCAAACACTGCAGACCCTGGGCAGGTGCTGGGACAGGAACTTAGGAAAATATGCTAAGTGCAAATAGAATGGCTGCAACTGCTATGAGATTACACCTCTCACACCAGGTCATGTCTGAGGACAGGCTGGAGCCACTCCAAGCCAACAAAAAGCCTCTCTGCTTTTTCTGCAGCTCCCCAGAACCTCAGAATCTGCAGGAATCCATAACTCAGTGCAGGGATCACGTGCAGTGCCCCCGCCACAGCAGAGACACACTGGCAACCCAGAAATTAAGGCTTTAGTGATAGAGGCTCAAGGGCCAAATGACTTCATGTTATGGGCCCAGATTCATCACAGCTAAATTCAGGTCCTCTACTGAGGCATCCCATCCCCAGGCTTCCTCTGTACCTTCAGGGAGCAGCTCAGATGGTGTCTGCAGGTAGGTTAGATGTTTTAGCCCACGTGCTTCAGCTGAGTGTCTCTGATGAAATGGGGTGAACAAGGAGCACAGATCCCTTTCCTGATAACTGACCAGCTGCAGGGGATGCACTACAGCTCACTGCAGCCTCATCAGTGGTGACATGATGTCCCCTGACTCCAGCTAGCAACAGTTGTAGGTCTGAATCACTGGAATAGCTAAGAACCGTGTCCTGCACCATATTAGAAAAAAAACCCAAAGAACAGTTTCCAGCTTATATGTCATATTTTCCAAAACACATTTGTCTTGAAGATATGAATGGTTAAGAATAATGGATTACCTGCCAAAATCATCCAAATTCTTCTTTATTTTGACAGTGGATCTAGACAAAAATTAAGCAATGAATATACAGCATATGAACATATATATGGTTGAATACTAATCCTTGCTACTGTGTGGCAAAATTCATCAAGGAGAGTTTTGATCTAGCTTTAAAACACTGCAAGCAGTGAACTGTGTCTATGCATTTAAATAGCCTGAATGCATAATAGAGTGATTTTTTTCCCAATATTTCTTACATGAAAGACAGGTGAGGGGAACACACATGTAATACACATGGTGTGGGGGGTTTTGCCTCATGTCATATTATGCAGAAATGATATATTTTCATAATATTTCACATTATGAAAAATATGTCTGAAGTTTTATTCAGAGTTTTTGCCACTTCAAACAGAATTGTCATATTCACGTTTAAAATAAGTTTGGCCATTAAATCTTCCAATAAAAGCAAACCATTAGCTATCCTCACTATAAAGCTGCACCTGGTAGACTTGCATATGAGAAGTGCTTCCTGAAAGACAATGGACCAAATGGAGATGGCAATGAAAATGCTTTGCAAAACAAGAACAAAAAGTAACGCGCATAAAATCCCCGTTTTGATGACCAATACAGTCACTGTTACAGTGGGGGTACCCAAAACCTTCATGAAGTCAAACAAAACACTTTGAGCCAGTGACTATGTGGTGTCTAAATAACATCATTCCAGGGCAGAGAGGTTTTTCTACTACCAGATGGTTGTTGCTCCAGTTGTGGTAGCCTAGATATGTGCTGACATCTAGTGGGCCTTTACAGAATAAATACAGCCCAAACACTTATTAATTAGCAATAAAGAATAATAATCTTAGATTCACAAACATATTTTCTCGTTTTTCTTCCTTTCCCCCCACAGCGCGTGGAATTGCGTTCTAGATAACTGAATTTTAGTGATTATTATGTTTTTCAATATTTGTTCAAGCTGATGTTTTCTAAAGCACTGTTCCCATTGACACCATGCTGTGTCCTTTGGGAAAATCCACCTGGAGGCATTTCTTGACTGACAATCACCATGTGTTTAAGCAGAGACTGTAAAATTGAAAATGAAATAGATGGGAGTGCAGTTCTGCATGTCTGGAGCCACAGTAGGATCTGTATTACACCTGATTTGATCAGAGGCTCCTTAAGCTATTCCTACTAAATTCAGATCAAAATTTGTCTTTAAGCAGTTGTTTACCAATTATTGTAAGTAAAAGGCTACAAAAAGCCTTTAAATGATCATTTAGTTTACTACTATCTTGAAAACACCTTGCTATATTGTAGACATCAATGAATATTTATGAGATAACAGTCAAAACTCTACTTAGAAACCCATTTTCCATAGTATTTACTCCATCTTCATTCAGCACATATTTCTGATCTTTTGCAAAACCATGCTTGCAATGCACTCCTCATTTAGGATAACTAAACTAAGGAGAAACTACTAGAACCTTAACTACTGTTTTCAAAGTAAACTGAAAGAGGAAACATGACCAGAAAATCAATTGCCTTTAGGAAGAACTGATTCAGGATACCAAAAACTCCTGTTTAGGTTTCAGTTGATTTTAGAGTCCCCGGCAATGAGAAATGCTTTTATTACTTGAGAAATAAGACGTCAGGAGGTTTTACAGTGATGTATGTGGTGAGAGAACCTCAGTCATATTCAAACCCTGAAAAGAAGGTCTATACCACCTCCAAGGGGTCCCTGAGGCTGTCTTTTAACCAGCTTTGATTTCCAGGACATAGTCTTTTAGGCTAAAGGAATAGGCTGTTCCAGAAGACCCCAGGTCACAGAAAGGGAGAGGAATGATATGCTGAACTAGCACTGAAGAGATTTATTCTGAAGGAAGAAAATGGAAAACACCCTCATGGCTGGCATATATGTGTTGTCACTCTTTCACACAATCACTGGGGCGCCTGACATGTATCCACCAGTGTCCCAATAACCCAGCATGGTCAGCTCCTCATGAACAGGTCATTACTTACCACTTGCATGACATTAATTTTGGGGGTATTACAATTCAAGTGGCTGCTCAGCTGGTACCCAATAAAGAGTCTTGCCACATAATGCTATTTTTCATTTTTCGCCTTAATGTAAGACCTGCTCGTGATTTATCAGCTGTAGCAAAGCACAAAGCCATAATTTTCTTTTATTGAACTCGCTCTGGGTAGCCATCACTCTGCAGAAATGCAGATGGTCATCTTATTCTTAGCAACGGGATGAATGCCACAACTCTGCTGACAAAGACAGCAAAGCAGCCATTTATAATAGTAAGAGAAGCATTCAATTTAATATCTGTGTTAGGTGCACATAGTTAGGCTTTTTGGACACAGTTGTTATAGGATTCTACTCTGCTAATACTTCAGGACTTTACAGCATTTAGGCAAATTTGCATAGCATGTGTACTGGCATCCAGGTGCGACTTCTGTGCTTATGGCAAATGAAAGTGAGCTATACCCGACTATATATACAGCTGGCCTCCAACTGAACTCTAATCATAATCAGGCTTTATGATGTGTGTTTGAGGTAGTGCCATTTTGTAATTTGTCCACCTCTCTCTTCTCTTACTTCAATTTTCAGGGGCATCCATACAGTGCAGATGAAATTCTGGTTCTGGATCAGAACCGATGAACTTGAGTGAATTAAATGTATTTAACTATTTCATTGTCAATGGAATTAAGGAGATGACATGCATCTTCCCTTTTGTTTCAGAAAATATGGATTTAGGGAATTTCTGGTGCCAGCACAAAACACAGTTTCTCTGTTCTAGGGTGAGAAGAGTGGCAGTGAATTATTCACGGCAACTAGTGGAGTGCCCAGAGACTCGCCCTCTGATAACCAGCGAGTTTGTGGAGAACAAAAATATGGTGTTGAATATTAAGCAGAAAGGGGCAGGTGTTTTCTAATAAGCACCCTGCTGGATCCTGCCAAAGGGCCCCCATACAGACTTTAACAGCTGAATCTGGAATGTGCTTCATTTCATCACAGAACCGGCTATTGCCACAGCAACAACTCTTGACTAATAATTCAAAGAAACAAAACAGAGATGCAAGTCAAATCCAGAAATTAGAGTATTTAATCTTTTAGAATAAGGGGAGATTTTACCTAGCATTTTCAGTGGATGGATTCAGAGCAAAAATTCATCCAACAT